ACTGAACTTGCCATCAGATTCTCGTGCTTGGGACTTTTGATTTAAACTGTTGATGTTATTACCGAATACCGGAGGTGCTTGGAACAAATTATGGTTACCATCGTTAATTAAAAGTCACATATGCCTTTGAAAATATTGTGCATCAAAGGCATATGTGACTTTTGTGTTCTTCTGTGCGTTATAATTGGCCATTTGTGCCGAACATTGTCACCGTTGATGCACAAAAAAAACAACACTTCAATAGCTTGAATCTAGATATGTCTCAAGTGTGTGTGATCTTTGTTTGGGCATATCTTCACCTCGTAATGGTAACAGGGACCTAGATTAGCACCTCTGTCGCACCAAAAAACATTTTTACCTCAAGTAGCCGAAGCTTAACCAATCCATACTGATATGATGTTATATATCAACGCTCAAAATAATGTACAGTTACTGTAAGGGAATCCATGAGAATGTGCGTGTTGCTGCCACGTGTATTGATGAAATACTAGTAAATGGAACGAGGGTAGAAAGTACTTTAAGTACTCGTGGTTTTCAAAACGCAATGTATGCTCGAGGCAAAGAGTTGCTAACTTCTCCAAAACAATTAATCGGTGCATGTACATCTGCATGCCATGAGTGACCCCAATAGAATCAAATAACTCTTTCTTTAATATTGTTAAGCCAATTGTGATGCGTCCTGTTTAACGTATTAAAGTGCGATCAATACGACATCTCACGTAACTGTCTTTCAGAACAGATTTTGCACTGCTTGGTTAAAAAGTTTTAAATATATCATTTAACTCTCTTCTATAGCGCCGAGTTTCCACCAGTCTGTTTACCGACACTCAACAAGACAGTTTAACTCTTCAAACACAGGCACCAAGAGTTCGAAACCTCAAAACAAACAGAAATTCTTATGAAACGTATGAAAAAAAATAGGATTTCAATGATTTGGACAAGGTAGCAGACAAAACATTCATTGATGTTTTACATCTGGGTTCATCAAGGAAATTATTGTCTTGATATCTCACAGGCAGTAGGTTCCAAGGTGGGAGGCAATATATAGTAGTGCATAATCAGATTCCAGAAATGTGTAAGTGATCGTTAGATTTTCGATTTTTGAGCTTCAATAATGCACATTTATTCATACCATTATGGTCTTTTCCTGAACACGTTGATAGTATTATATACTACTCAAAAATAGTTAGGGAACACTGATATGTTTGCACTTAAAATAAAAAAAGAACAGAAGACAAAGACATGTGTTGTAAATTCAATAATGACCGAGTATACAGTAAGAAAGAATCATGAACAAAATCCACTACATTTCATAACGCGAACAAGTGTTGATGTCAGTAATGTCACTGAGGTCAAAATTGGAAATCCAGGCCATGAGAGAAAAGTCAGTAACGAGTGTGTCCGTCCCTAGCAGCCACACATGCAACACAACGACGCCTCATGGATGTCACTAATGTCTGTAGTGTGTTCTGTGGGACAGCGTGCCACTCCAAACTCAGCCATTGAGCAAGCTGGCGCAGATCTTGAGGTGGAGGGTGGTTCTCCCTAACACGTCTCGTTAACAGATCCCATACGTGTTCAATGGGTGCCATATCAGGAAAATATGCTTGCCATTCCATGCGAGTAACATTGTTTTGTCCCAGAAAGTCAGTGACTACGCGTGCACGATGAGGTCTAGCATTGTCATCTTGGAAAACAGCCTTTGGGCCTATTCGATGAAGACAAGGAATCACCATTGGTCTCAGAATCTCATCCCTGGTAGCGAACAGCATTCAAATTCCAAATTGATGACGTACAGATTGGTTATGTGATGAAATGAGATGGCGGCCCACACCATGACACTACCACCACCAAAACGAATGTGCTGACGGACGTTGACGTCAGCAAAACGTTCCCCACGCCGTCTGTAGACAAGAACACGACCGTCATTATACTGCATTGAGAACCGAGATTCGTCAGAAAAAAGAACTGCTGACCACCGTTATCTTGTCCACTGTCGGTGTTCCCGTGCCCCTGCGTCTTTGGGTGCTCTGTGACGCAAAAGAAGGAGCGGTCTAACGGCTTGACGTCGGGGCCTGATGTTTCTTTCCCTCATACGGTTTCTTGTTGTTTGGTCACTGACATTTGTTCCTATAGCAGCGCTCAGTTGCCTACGAAGAGTGTTTGCTGTGACTGTTCTCTTCCTCAATGCTTCAACAACGACGTACCGGTCTTCTCTTCCTGTTGTACGTTAGTACGTTAGCCGCCGATCAGGAGGCCATTTGCCAAATTTAAAAGTACTCGAATGAACAGTGCTACAAAATATCAGTGTTCCCTAACTTATTTGACGAGCATATGTATCGTGAGAGTGAGACGACAGATAGAACACAAAGATAGCTGCAGTACTTCAGTATTGAGTTGACAAGTGCCTAAGAAAAACGAGGTGGGTGGTCTTACCAGTAATCATGTGAAATAAACATACACGCTTGTAGTTCTCTGTTCCAGTCGAGGTAATCTATTGCCATTTACGTTGCACCTACTTCTTCTCCTTTATCAATATGCATCTCTTGGTGTGTCCTTGAGCTCAGAGATGTCCACTTTAATTCGAGATGGTGTGGCAGCACCTAGGTTTTCTGTTTTATCGACATATAATCAGTAATACATTATACCAATAGTAGTAGCGGATTCCCAAATTACACCTGACTTTGAACGATTCATGGTTACGATTAGTCAAATCAATGCACAACCTGTGATGCATAATATGGTGTGCAGTCCATTCCTTTGTTGCTGTCGAGTGTGGTGTGTCAAGAGTGGCGATATATCAGGTAATTATGTGGTGTTCCCAGTGTACTTATCTTGACGAGTTTTTACTGTTGTATAAGATTTAGTACCCTCGACTGTGTGTCACACTAAAGGATGTATGTAACCTATGTATGTTAACCTTGCATCAAAAATAAGGCTGTGAATTATTGTCACCGTCTTAAATGGTGCAATAAATTATTTTTGGAATTATTATGAACATCCTTCTTGTGGGTGGGTGTAGATTGGAATTTCTGTCAGCTTGACTGCGATGCAATCCAGGTAGGGTGGTTCAAGGTGAGTAACTGCTGTTTTTGATCTTTTTGAAACACACATAAAAGATCCTAGCGCCAGGGGGCAATCACACATCGACCTCCAGTGTGATCAGCATTGTGGTAAATAATGAGCAAATGAGATCAAAGGCATCATGCAAGATGACGACATCAACACTGGGCCATCGAGAACATCTTAGTTGACCAGGCACTGAAATAGTTCCTGACGTTCATAGGCTACGTTTGTTTCGTTGAAGAGGTGGGGTGGGAGGGAAGCAATCCACATTGTGTATGCGTATGCTTAAAGAAGTGGGTTTTTTTCTTACCTAACATATTATATATACTCACACGCAAAAGAAACGCAAGTGGTTTTAAGCAAATAGGTTACAAACACGGAACCGTAAATTGATACGAGTTTTAGCATGTAGTGAAGCCTGATGGTGTTATCAATATTTTTGGTTGCATTTTGGAAGCCCCGAGTAAAAACGCAACATAAAAAACAAAATGCCAAAACGCACCATTTCAATGAATATGTGGGTATCATGCACCCATTTCTCGCGAAATCGAAAATGCACGAACTGTCACGAACTGTAGTGGGTATAAAACTGTGGCCGATTCTTGGACCTACCACTCCTTGGTCAACAATGCCACGCCTAACTCAAATTCAGAGAAACCAGGCTATCGGACGTTTGGAAGCTGGAGAGTCTGTCCAAGATGTTGCCCGTCATTTCAACGTTAACATAACCACAATCGATACAATGCTACACAGACCACAGATGATCTTCCTCGAAGTGGTCGTCCTAGGGTCACCACACCTCGACAAGATCGGCAGATTACCCGTCAACACCAGCGACATCCGTTCCTAACTGCAAGTGAAAGTGCTCGACAGACCATAGGAACACATAATCGACACATTAGCCGGGACAGAGTGATCCGACGTCCACGTTCCAACAACCTCAGATGTCGCTGACCAGCACGTCGTCCTGTTCTCCAACCACGGCATCGACAAGCACAACTTCAGTGGGCACAGGGTCATCACAATTGGCGTCATCTTGAGTGGAGGCGTGTCATCTTCTCTCATGAAAGTCGCTTCTGTGTCGCCAATGCAGACGGGAAGAGTCAGAATTTGGCGGCGTCGGGGTTATCGTTTCGCTGACAGAAACGTTGTGGAAAGGGATCCATGGGGTGGACCTAGCGTCATGATATGGGCAGGGATTGGACCTAATGCGAGACTTAGACCCATATGCTTTCTGAATGTTGGTCAAGGTCGGGGACACGGCGTCACTGCTCAGCGGTATATCGACCAAGTGATCAGACCCTACGTTGTTCCACTTTTTGCACAATATCAACAACACATTTTCCAGCAGGACAACGCTCGTCCCCATGTTGCCAGAGCTACCATGGCCTTTCTGCAACAACACAACATCCGTGTTCCACCGTGGCCAGCCCCATGATCAGCCCTGATCTAAACCCCATCGAACACTTGTGTGATGAGGTTCAAAGGCGCCTGCACAATGTGCGCCCAGGCCCTACAACTGCCGATGAACTACGCATAGCTGCTCTAGATGTGTGCAGGAGGATCCCTAGAGCCTTCACAAATCGTCTGATCCACTCAATGTACAGAAGATGTGTGGCAGTGATCAATGCAAATGGTGGTCACACCAGGTATTGACTGACATTTTGGGTGTTGACCCGAAACTGTGTAAGCCCTTAACAATTGAAAAAAACAATTGTCATCTGCCTTTTAATCCATTAAACTGTCTTCAGTCAAATTTTTGTCAATCTTGCCCTATTAGTATTTCTTGTCTTTACTGTTGAAAATAAATAACATGTATACTGCATACTCGACTTGCGTTTCTTTTGCGTGTATACAAGTATAGAAAATCAATTAATCTTTTTCAAAAGACATCTGTGTCAACAAACATTAATATTATCGGTCTGACATGATGTTTCATTTATTATTTATTAATATGGACATACATATATAACATACAAGTACGATTATTCATTGGGTTTTGCGGAAGGACTTCCTTTGACAAATTTGGTACAGATGAGTGACAATGATGCCACAAATAGGAACGAACCCAACAGATGAAACGATGCCAGGTAGGTCCCTGTAGAATCTTTCAGGTAACCTGTAACAGAGTAACACATCACCGCAATCAGAAATGCTAGAAAAAGTGCGTTAAATACAAATTTGAGATTTATGAAACATTTACATAACATCTGTACAACCCAGCCACATCATAAGTCAGCAATGTTCCAGCTATATAACGGCGGCCTGTCTAGGACAGGTACACCAGTGGTTGATAGCACGAGCAACGTGCTACGTCGTTCTACATCCCGTGACTACTCACTCCATCGTACATTTAGCCAATACTGAGCCAGATTCGACACGTGGCCACACTATATGTACGTAATACACATGATATCAACAACAGATATGCCTATACGTACAGGTAAATGTACACGTTTACTTTCATTCTCTCTCTTGATTCTACACGAATGATATTGATGGTTTACCCAGAAGCACGGGCGCTACAGTGCTGGCTATTCCCTCACAACACAATGTAATGCCGAGGGACCGTGGTAGGTTGTCGATTCCGAGAAAGTCGATTAACACTGGGGTCAACAGGGAGAAGTAGCACCCTCCAACCAGACCAATCACCACACAATACAGAATAATGGGTGTAGTTGAAGAGAAGAATGACATAAATTGTCCAAGGGTTCCACTTATCATCAGTGATATAACAAGCAGCTTGTAACGTTTTATCCAGCCAGTGTCTGCCAATACTCCACAGCAAAGTTTTCCAACTATATCAGCTGCTCCAATAATTGTAACCAGGAGCGACGTCATCTTCTCGTCAAAGCCGAGATCTCTCGAATGGGGTACAATGTAAATAGTCTGTAGTGTACTGCCAACATTAGCAAGAGCCGATGCAATTTCCAGCAAAACAAATACAGGATTCCAACACAATGACAAACCTATCAGGTTTGTTGAGCAGCAGATGTTTCTGTTGTCCTTGTCGTGATGAAAATTAGAGCCAGCCTGAGGGAATAAACATTGAAAGATTTTAATTCTTGTGAATATCACGGTGACAGATACTTTTGTAAACATGTGTCGTTATGGATGGATTTAATTTTACAAAAGTTCTTCATAACTGAAAATGATTAACTGGTACAAATAATTCGCTTTAGTGTCTTGCCTTCGCCTCTTGTGTGCTTCGTGTTCCCTTCAAATTGACTTGAGGATATTTCTCATTCATGTCCACATTCTCAACATCTAGCCCGGCATGTTTACAAGTGATTACTGTCTGAACCAAATCTTTCTCTTTGCCTTGTTCATCCTCTTCTTCCTGAAGACTTTGATGAGATGTGAGAGATTGACATTCCTCACACTGGCCCTGTTGGGGCTCACATGTTGCGATTCTGAAGGGCCTCATAATAGCAGCACATACACAACAATGCAACATTAACCCCGCTATCATTAGAAGAGTGCCCCTCAGACCGTACGTATCAAAGAGAAAGTAAACGAGAGGCGGGAAAGCAAACTGTCCTAAACTCCCACCTCCGATAGCTATACTGTTTGCGAGGCTTAACCGCCTGTTAAAATACTGACCGATCATTACTAGGCTTGGTCCGTGCATGAAGGCGTTCCCAACCCCTAAAACAGAACCAACTTATATGACCAACTTGTATACACGAGGGAATATTCTTCCCAGTTCCCTCCTACGAACATATTTCGTACAACAATAGCTTCAGATATGCATAACGTTTATGAAGATGGATGATATTGCATTTTAAAGATTCTTCGACTATAAATCCCAAATATTCAGTTTGGAGGAAACTGTTTCAGCCAGACACATTGTGACGTGTACAACCGCTGGGGCAGGACACGCTTTCCTCTTTGATTGTGATTCATAAACACATGCTCATGATAATGTCGGAATCGTACAATGGACTCTGCCCCTTACCAGTAATTTCTCATCATTATGGTAATAATTTTGTCGATTTTTTTGTTTTGATATTTTATAATTATATTATGAATCTGTTAATAATGAGTAAATAACATTATGGGTGGGAGAAATGTTTCGAGCCATGCATGATAAGCATCGGCTTCATTCATTGTACTTATGTAGAGAAGTGAACTCGGGTTTCACAAGGCTACCCATCGCCCCTCGTCATACTGATTGTAGTGATTTTTGCTGTTGAACTTATCATAAGGTTATCTTCCAAACAACACTTAGTTATATTAGTGAGTTAATATTTAACGTCGCATCGGCATTATTTCGGCCGTTTAGCGACATTGTATTATGTGTTGATTCATGGCATACAGTCTGTTATTACAATATGTTATTGTGATCAACAATTATGTTGTCGGAAGCTTTACACCTATTAACCAAACTGACATGAGAGTTAAATGCAGACCATCAGCGTCGGATTCACAAAAGTATATTTGTACACGGTTCTTGTCTCTACTTTCATGTTCGACTGGATATATGTAAAGTGAACAAACTGCCCCAATACTTTAAGTATAGTCTTGATGTATGTTGAAAACCTATTGATCTCACCGATATTCCACTCTAACTGCGATGGGAAAACTGTCAAGACGGTAAGAAGGGATAGTATGTCTTCTATGCAGTATCCGTTTTAAACGCATATTCGGCGGATAATCGAGACTAGTTATTCTCTGGTGTTGAAGTTTCATATGTTAAGCTATAGATACATGTTTGTAGTGTAACAGGGACGAATTTAGTGATTTTTATAATGTGTACATAAATATAAAATTAATCATTGGCAGACGCCGACTTGTTTATAAATATTTACTCTTTAAAAAACAACAACTTGACACTGACTTTCAAAATGTAATATAATGCGATTGTTTCAAAATAGGACACAGAAACCATAATTGAAACGCTGTTTGAAGATCAATGTACACAATGTTCAAAACATTAATCGTGTCACCTAGACAGACACACGTACACGATACAGTTAATGTCACAGGGGTACAGAAAATGTCAGTATCGGTTGTGCCCACCACGTGCATCAATCACCGCTTGACACCGACGACCCATAGATGCAATTACGTTGTCAATAACACGCTGTTGGATGTGCTGCCATTCATCCTGAAGTGCATCAAGAAGCGCCGGAAGTGTTTGGGGCGGTGGATTCCTTCTGCGAACGCGTCGATCCAACTCGTCCCACAGATGCTCAATCGGGGACAAATCTGGTGACCGGGCTGGCCAAGGTAATGTCTGGATGTTGTTGTGGTGTAAGAAGTCCTGACAAACACGTGCAATATGCGGTCGAGCGTTGTCCTGCTGGAACTGTCCGCCATGAACGTTGACGTGAGGAAGAACGTAAGGCTGTAGGATCAAATCGCTGTAACGCACATCTGTCAATGCACCTGCCACATGCACGAGAGGCGTCCTACCACCGTGATGAATTCCAGGCCCATACCATGACACTCCCGCCGCCAAATTGGACAACCCGCTGCACACAGTTGGGGCGTAATGTTCACCCCGACGTCTGTAGACACGTGCGCACCCATCAGCACGTGTGAGTAGGAAACGGGACTCGTCAGTAAACAGTACATTTCTCCACCTTGCACGTGCACATCTAACCCTCTGTTGGCACCAAAGCAGACGGTCCGCCAGATGACGTGGGGTCAATATATGACGTCGAACAGGTCTTCGTGCAAAAAGTCCAGCCTCCCTCAGTCTGTTGCGTACCGTTTGATCTGATATTCTGCGTACCCCAGGGATCTGTGTGGTTGTAGACGTGGCTGTGGTAGTGCGGTCTCGGAGATATCGCAGCCGGATGTATCGATCTTGTGCTTGGGTTGTCACCCTTGGTCTTCCTGACCTTGGTCTGTCGTCAACTCTGTTGGTGTTGTTGTATCGGGTCCACAGTGCGGAGATTGTCTGTCTGGATACGCCAAAGTGCCTGGGGCCACTTCTTGCTGAGTTGCTCGAGCTTGTAATCTCCCAATGGCGTTGTTCCGTTGAGCTGCATTCAGTCTTGGCATTCTGTCACCGCCTCTCCTGCCGTTAAAAGGACTGTATGAACAGCCGTTGATGTGGATTTTTATACCTATTCAGCAGGGGGGCCTGCATGCCTAAATGCAGGATCCTGTGCTGCACGTTTTTTACAGGCGGTTGCGTTTGGATGAAGCTGTAAAATTGATCCCCAAACGCTACGTTTATGTGCTTTGCATGTGTTTTCGCGAATTATAGACACATCATCTTTCTGTTTGACTTATTTGGTTCTCATTTAATGTAATTATTGTAGATATTTGGCAAAAAGTGGTTTTACATCTATGTCAAGTTTCATTTTTTGAAGAATTTATTATTGCAATTAATTGTCAGTCCGGCTGCCTCTTGTTTTAATGTCTACTGCACAGTTCTGTGTCACAATGCTGGTTCATTTTAGGGTTAAGGATATTTTGTCTGTTTGGGTTGATATATTTTTATGTCATTGTCTTTGGTGCCTTTACACCGGCCCAGGCCTAGCTACTCGTTTGATTGGTCTTGTTTCAATTCAATGGTCTTGTATTAATGTCATCCGCCATGTTACTAATAATTTGCACCACACTGTCATGAGGACTGCACACCAGTTGTAGTATTGTCCAACTCAAAGAGTAGTTATTATACATTTTAGTTAATATATACATTGTAAATCAAAGTACAATATAAATCATTGCATAAAATGGATATGAATACGTTCGTGATAAACCTAGTGTAATTACTTGTATGAATATGGGTATGGTTTGTTTTCTATATGTTTAATCTGGTCCATACGCTGGCTAGTAATTCTTGTTTTGACAGTTTTTTCTGTGTGATGTAAGATTGATATATCTCACAAATCGGGTATTGTATGTACCATTGTAGGACTTCATAGTGTTAGTTACAAGTATGTTTCAGTTGGTATCATGATCGCCCTCTATATCCTATCTAGTTGACAAGGAATACATCTGATAAGTGTATTGTCCTGTATGTAGGATTCTCGCACGCGTTTGTTGTCCGTCTGCTGGGTGAGTTCTTTTCATAGTGTCTGTAGTCTGTTTTAAAAGTATGCCATGTGTTATCATAATCGTCTTTATGTCAACAATCATTTTGTTCATTATGTGTAAACACTGGATCATACAAAGCGACTTGTGTAATGTTGTAATATTGTGTTATACCTGTATAAGATCATAGGCGGGCACTTTATGTACTTTGTTCATTTGGATGACATGTTCACCAGGTGGTATTTTATGTTGTGGCTATTGTGTAATTATTGGTATAACAGGGTGTCTTCTTCCACTACTATGGAATAAGCGGATATAAACCCGTAGCCTGTGATTAACACCACTATCTCATGGCTGCAACATGTGGTGGTGTGTAATATAATGATGAAAGCGGTGTATTCTCTTCCAGTACTAACTGAGTGTCTGGTAGGTCAGAGGTTGTATTTAGTCGGGAATCGATTACTTGTTGGGAAACACGAAGTAGCAACACACAATACAAAAACGATCTTACCAATCATTGCACCGCACGAGAAAAGCAGGTGTACCATATCAGTGGCCACGGAGCTTATTGCAATTCCTGTGGATGAGGTTATTGCTCCAAAGAACATCAGCTGTCTGTAGCTGTATTTACGAGCAAACAGGTGGAGGCAGATTGGAGCTGAAATTAAGAACCGTCACAACATTAGGTTCTGTGATTACCACAGTTCAGATAGAGTAAGTTTGAATATGTAAAAGTGAAACGAATTTATAATCAATGCATATATTTATTGTTAGAGAACTAGAGAAAATAATTCCTAAATATTTACATGCATTTACAGATAAAATTGTCTTCTTTGCTGATAAGCGACCACCTGTTGTAAATACAACAATATTTGCCTTTTCTAAATTGACTGTTAGACCCCACACAGCTTAGTTTGATTCAAGAATGTGAAATTGCTTCTGTAATCCTTGTTTTGCACCAGATACCAGAATGACATAAACATAAGTAGCAATATTTCGAACATGTCCGGAAACAACTGCTCTCCACATTTTTCCTTTCTTAAGATTTCTTTTGCGAATTTGTTTATCAAAAATGAAAATAACAATGGACTTTATATGCAGCCTTGCCTTAGTCTAATTTGACACTCAAAATAATTTGTACAACATTTGTTATTACCTCTTACACGTGTTTTTACTTATGAATATATACTTACGTGCCTTTAACATTTCTTTTCCAATTGAATACAAGCAATTTCAAAGCTTAGATCGATTCACTGAATCAAATGTTGTTTTTTTAACATCAACGAAAAGTAATATAAATTTGCTTTTTGATAGACATTTCTGATTGAATTGCGTACAAAGCAAAATATGATCTACAATGGAATAGCTCTGTTCGAAACCAGCTTGAGTGTCTACTACATGTATATGGTCAATACTAAATAGCCACTTTCCATCTTCCAGTCGAATTTTTAATCATCACCTTACTTTCTTACCGCATAGTAAGTATTTGAAAGCTAAATGTCTGAAGGCACTAGATTTATTAAAGGTTGTTTCTAATTCCAAGTGGGGAGGTGATCAAACGACCCTCCTTCACTTATATAGATCACTTGTCCGTTCTAAGCTCGATTATGGCTCCATCATCTATGGTGGAGCCTGTAAAAGTAATCTTAAATTACTCGATCCCATACATCACCAGGGTCTAAGACTTTGTCTTGGATCTTTCAGAACCTCTCCCATTGACAGTCTGTACGTTGAGGCTGATGAGCCACCACTTAAACTACGCCGAACTAAATTATCTTTGCAGTATATCACAAAATTATATTCTAATCCATCTAACCCCGCACACAACTGTGTGTTTAATCCTCTTTATGAAGACCTGTATAGTAAGAAGTCCTCTCTTATTCCGCCTCTTTAATTTAAATAATTAAACCTTTAATTTCTGCTGCTGGTATTAAACTGGAAAATATATCTCCTTTCCGCCTGCTTCCTTCACCTCCTTGGCAATTAGTAAAACCACAGGTGGATCTTACATTACCTAAACTAAAAAAAATGGACACTAATCAACTGCAATATCAACAGGAATAAAATCAGTTAAGGTGTGAATATGATACTTATAAATCTATCTTTACTGGTGGATCCAAGGATGGTGATGCTGTTGCCAGCGCCACCGTCATTGGATCCAGAACTATATCAACAAGATTACCAGATGACTCTTCAATTTTTACAGCAGAATCAAAGGCCATTTTAACTGCTTTAGAATATATTAATAAACAACCTAAACATAAAGAATTCATAATTTTTTCAGACTCTCTCTCCTGTCTTCAGGCTATTAAAAACACTTCGTGTCAGCATCCAATTTTACTCGACATCATAGAATTACATAATAACCATGCTACTGGCCAATACGACATCGTCTTTTGTTGGTTACCCAGCCATGTTGGAATTGTTGGTAATACAATGGCTGCTGCTGCTGCAAAAGCAGCACTTGACAAATCTGTGACACCACTTCTTATACCATACAGTGATTATAAACCTGTCATTAGATGTTACATCAGAGATCTAATGCAGAAGAAGTGGGACACCCAGGTGGGTATAAATAAATTACATGCAATAAAAGCAAATATCGGTTATACCTACTTGGGTTGTCAGTCCAGATTTGAAGAGGTCATTATAAGACGATGTCGTATTGGTCATTCACGTTATACTCATGAATACATTTTTTAAAGGTGAGGATAGTCCATTCTGCATCCCTTGTGATGAGAGAATCACAGTCAAGCATGTCCTGCTTGATTGTGTTGATTTTTCCATCACAAGGGATACATATTTCAACGTTTCATCACTCAAGGATCTTTTTAACATAAACTCTCATTTAATTATTGGATTTTTAAAAGAAATTGAATTGTTTAATAAATTTTGATGTAGAAAGTTATATATTTTATAAATTGGTAATATATAATTATCAACTGAGATTGTTAGTGGTTGTACCCTTGATGGGGGTTGAAGTAGCTTAAAATTATTGTCCCCCAAAGAGGGTGCGTAAGCCCACTTCATTCAAAGTAATTTATATATACCAGGTTTTTAATCGTAGAATGATTGTTTGTTTTAATTTTGGCTAAATTTCTCCACAACCACCAATAACTGAAGGGATGGTGTTAATCCTGCCGGGGTCCATGCAGGTAGCAAAGGTACTGTAAGTCCCCATGGTCCTTGGTATGGTGGCCTAACTTTAGTTGTTGGTGATCAATAGCCTGTTTTTATGATGTGTCATCTGTCATTATCCAATCATTTTATTGTTCCTAAACTAGTTTTAAAGTTATAATCTGTGATATATTGCTAGTTGTTGTACTGTCCTTTGACGACAGTTTTTTTTATATATGCTATAACTTGTTCAAGTCACGATATGGCTGAAATATTGCCGATGTGACTTTAAATATTAACTCACTCACTCACTCTTCCAGTCGAAATTCAACTGGAAATTCATTTGGCCCATTATCAAACTGGTGTTTAAGTTTGTGTAAATATTGTTCTCACGTCCAACGAGAAATTTATTATGCCGATCACGGTATGGGTGTAACGCTTTGTGCGAATTTATGAATCTAGTATTATGAATGTGGCTTAAGTAGACATATACACAGTTACTCAAATGAAGTATAGTTCTAAATGTTGTAATTTGCAGAATGTGCGAAAATGAGACATTGTCTTCTATGACGTTAGTAACTTTCGATTCAGTTTATATTTATTCAAGGTCAAAGGTTCACATACATAACATAATGTTAAGGTTAAGGTGAGAAATGGATATACATGTGTAGTGTATATGACGTTAACAAGAATGATTTCGGATCAAAAGAGTTCTTTTACAGAATTTGAACAATATTATAACAATTCATAAGAAAACGGAATTTTTTCGAATTACAACTTTCTCAATAGTTTGGTGGTATTATAGCTTTTTCTTATATCAACATACAAGGGATATTTTATAATAACATGAAACTCATCTTCAACAATATTCAAAATACCAAAGTGACAGATTTGGGTTTGGGCGGAGGGAGGGGGGTATTTTGCCTGCATCCAATAGCTGTCTGTAGCCCTGCGCTACATGTTCCGAGGCTGTTAGCTGTAATATACATGATCAGTTAATTAAGCTGACATTGATTGTAGTTTGATATGACTTGTTAAAGCCATTTGCCTTCACGCCTTCAACTGCCAAAATTAAAACAAATAGTATGCATGTATATCCCTACCTTACACACTGTAGCCTAGCATCTATATCTTTTATTTGTGAATGGTATTAAAGAAATTTTGTCAACAATTAGATTCGACTGCATGAATGCTTATAACACTAATGTACTTTGTATCTTAACAGAACATGTTACATGTATCTGGTGACAGCTCAAATTTTGTATCTGATTTAATAAATAATTTAAGATTAGACAACCTTCTGCTTTTTCATGGTGATAGCCACTTTTGTATGCTCTGCCGTTAATTAACCCAATTAGTATAAAATATCTAAAACGACATCTACCCAAAATAACATTACGTGACTTGGTGGGTATCTCTTACAAAATCATTAGTGTCAGGGGTTTATCTGCTCTAATCATAGATCATTATGCGATTACTTAATAACTAGAGACCGCTTGGTTGTTGAATTGTCTAACTGACCCTTTTCTCACAGTCGGACAGAACATGTGTGCTGAGCATGTGAAGTGAAGTTTACACACTTATCACTGGCTCTCAGAAGGAGTGATCTTCTGTGTCAGTCTGGCTGGGCAGACTTGCATAGTGGGTTTCTGATTCAGCTGCATATGTGAATACGTTCAGCCGCAGATTTGAACTATAAGTTACTGATTTGTGAAGGTCAGTTACTTCAACACCTACACTGAATTTACTCTAAGAATATTCATATTTATTTACAGATATAACATAATTAAAATATATTTCCTTACAGAAAGTTGATGTCATACATACAACTATTGCAACCAAATTGGAAGGGTGTGTAATGATCGATTTATTTGTCTCCATAATTAATTTTACTTTCTATTAACGTTTCAATTGTCATTTCAGTATCAACACATCTTATCAGTGGTACTTATTTCATGTGTTGAGAAAATTACATAATTGGCGATGCATATACATGTGCTTGATGACATTACACCATGTTGACGTCATCTGGCTCCTAAACGTCTTCATTGCATCATTGAGTTAAACATAAAACAGTTCAATTGAGGTCACTGAAACGCTTTGAAATTTCATCTGTAATGAAATGTTTTGACTGCAATGAGAGTATCAGGTCAGCCACCATTCAGAGGCATATCGGAATGTGTGGCACATATTAGTATTGTCCTATATAATGGTCTCGCCAGTTGTATTTAGCACATGCAGTGATAGGTCTTACCAGCTAGACAGAAGGCAGCTGCCTGCATACCAAGAACGGCTGACGTCATTGACGCAGTAGCGTGGAAGGTGTCTCTGAACTGCACGAAGAGGATTCCAAACGACTTTAGCAAGCCGACTACAAAGAAGTTCTGAAGCATGACAGCTGGGAATGATAAAAAATAGGAGAACCTAAATATGTTTTACTTTTGAATACCTATCTTGCATAACTCCTCAATGCATTTAATGCTGGGAACTTTTCACAGAAAGATAACGCTGTGGGAGGTCCAGCTGTAAAAGTAGTTGTTCCAACTATTTGTGTGCCTAACAGACTCCCACAGCTGCCACGTCACCCCAGAAGTGGCGAAGTCATGTAAAATCACATAACTGCATTATCTTAAGACTTATGTGGTGAGGTAGCACTGGGACGACGGGCACTTTAGACAAAGTAATGAAGGATAAGTAAACAAATGTAAAAGATATTCAGATTTTACTAATTTTTTAACTTATCCTGCATTACTCCTTAATTCAGCTTTATTGGACAGTACAGAGGGGTCATACCTGTGAACCTTGATAACAGCATCCTGAGCGATGAACAGAAACCAGTGGCCATTCATGTCAGAAGGAAAAAAGAGAGCATGGGGAATGTCTTTATGTCCAGGCACAAAAGCAGTAACTGAGAAAAGCCAAAGCCAAAATCTAAAACTGACCTACCGAGCTAATGCGAACAGCATGTAAGCCCACTAGATTGGGGTGAAATACCAGCAAAGTCGAAAGGCCAGATCTCGTCTCCTATAGAATCAGTAGCGTCTAAGGTTCCTGACCTGTTGAGCCATCACCAATGGTCCAAACCTGTGGACGGATTCCACGTTCTCCAAAGCCAAGTCTCTCAATTAGTCACTGGCAAAGACTGTATCTCGAAGAGAGGGGAGGTATGGTGAACAATCTGTCCAGCTGTCCTGTACGGTGGCCCATAAGGGACATGGAGTCTGTTTTTCCATATTTTGATATTTCACTTACTTTTGTCGTTACATTTTGCAAATTAACACGATTTGTCTTACAAATATGTGATAAATCATGTGTACAGAAGATATTGAATCGCAGAAAAGTGAAACGAAAATGTCAAAAACTAAAATGCAAATGTCAAAAAACAAAAACGAACATGTCAAAAACTTAAATGAAAATCTCAAAAACAAAAGCGAACATGTCAAAAACTAAAATGAAAATACAGAAAACTATTTCCAATATTCCCACCGCGGTGAAAACTATTTCCACTGCGGTGAAAACTATTTACACCGCTGTTGAATTATTATCACTGCGGTTGATATAGTTTTCTGTGGTTTCATTTTAGTTTTTGACATTTTCGTTTTGGTTTTTGACATTTTCGTTTCACATTTCAGCGACTCAATAGCTACTTGAAAGTACATTTTCCATGTTTTCGTTTGTTTTTATACATGCTTTATTACATATTTGTATGACAAATTGTGTTAATTTGCTAAAGGTTACATAGAAGTAAGTGAAACATCAAAATATGGAAAAACAGACCCCATGTCCCTTATGGGCCACCGTAGTTCTGGGAGTTGATTCTTGCATATGAAATCCAAATGCAGCCCACGATGAACGGATCCATGCGCCCTGTGCACGAAACGGACCAGAATGAAGTCAAGTGTATGTAGTTTGCTTACGCTCGCTGCAGTAGCCAGAGCCAAGAGGAAAACTGTGTTCTAAGTGAGGTTATAAAATGAAATGAGGTGAGGTAAAATAGGGTTCAACATCGCTTAAAAGATTATTGCACTTATATAGCGACGTGCATGCATGTGTGTCTGTGTGAGTGAGTTTAAAATTTAACGTGGCATTAGCATTACTTCAGCCATATAGCAAAGAGACCAAGTTGATACATACACAGTTTATTCTTTTGTACCGAGTTATATTTAAAAACAATTTATGAAACATATTTGAGCATACTATATTTAAAAACAATTTATGAAACATTTGAGCATAACAATATCATGTATAGAGTTTTAAAAGCAAACCAAAGCTAGGCCACCTGACTTGGGATCTTGGGGACTTACAGTACCTCGGCTTCCTGCATGATACCTCAGCAGGATTTACGTCGTCACTTTAGCTACTGGTGGTTGTGCACAATACTAGCCTATATTAAAAAACACTTAGCAATGAGTTGGCTTAAAAACATTGGTTGATGATAGTCACATCGATTATGATAGGATTACATGTCACACAGGGGGACAATAATTTCAGCTACTGGTGGTTGTGCACAGTGCTAACCAATATTAAAAAATGCTCAGCCATACTCAACACTGGTTGATGATAATTACATGGATTATAATAGGATTATGTGTCACACAGGGGTACAATAATTTTACGACACTTTAAGCCCCTGGACAGAGCATTTAATAATGTCAGTTGATAATAGCATCACACCAAATGTAAAAACACCCATTTAATTATTCACATACATATTTAAAATTTATTATACGGACCAATTTCTTTCAAGTAATTTGAGATGAGATGCCCGCTGACACGGGAAAAGAGATCTTTCAGATTAACCCTTTGATAATGTGAATCCCTTGCGATTGCAAAGTTCACACAGTCACGCAATATATGCTTGGCGGTCAACCTTTCATCACAAGGGATACACTTAGGAGGTTCGTCCTCATCTGTCTTCAGCAGATATTCGTGGGTAAACCGACTGTGACCATTACAACATCATCGTAAAACGACCTCGTCATGTCTTGACTGGCAACCAAAGTAGGTTTGACCAATTGTTGGTTTTAATTCGTGAAGTTTATAGCTTCCTGCCTGGGTGTCCCACCTCTTTTGCATGAGATCCCGAGTAAAATTCTTGATGGTTGGTTTGAAATCACTATACGGGATCAGTAGTGAAGTTAAGGGTTTGTCAAGAACTGCTTTAGCTGCAGCATTGGCTTTTGAGTTAACTGTTATGCCTACATGACTTGGTAACCAGCAAAAGACGATGTCACATTGGCCAGTAGAAAGATGAAGTACTAAAATATCAAGGATAATAGGGGGTATGGTGATACACTTTTAAGTGCCTGAAGGCAAGACAACGAATAAGAGAAGATGATGACATTTTTAGATTGGTTCTGTTGTTGAATATAGGTCAAAGCTGTTAGAATAGCTTTGACCTCAGCAGTCAATATAGAACTAGAATCTGGGATTCTTGAGGAGACAGTTCTGGATCCAATGATGGTGGCCACTTTGCCACCATTCTTGGACCCGTCTGTAAAAATGGACCTGTGAGAATTCTATTTGGAGCGTAATTGGTTATATGATTGTTGAAATGCCAATTGATTAGTATCTGACTTTTTTAGAGGGGGAGGGGGGGGGGGGGGGGGGGGGGGGGGGGGAGAGAGACAGAAGACGGTAAGGTGGAATAATATTTAAATCTATTTCAACTGTGGTGATAGGTGGTTGAATTATGATTCCAAGTGGTGGAACCAGGTTTTATCAATTTGAAACAGGTTTTCATATTGAGTTTGGCAAACACAATTGTATGCTGGGGTATGATTTATTTGAGTGCAATTTAGTGATATTTCAGCGAAAGTTTAATACGGCACTTCGAGTGAAGGTTCATCAGCCTCAACAAACAAACTGTCAATGGGAGAGGTCCTAAAAGCTCCAAGAGAGAGATGTTGTATTGTGTCCAATTTTTCTAAGTTGCTTTTGAAGACTCCACCATAGACAATGGAACCATAGTCTAGTTTGGAGCATATTAACGATCTGTACAAGGGAAGGAGGGTGGTCTGAATTTGAAACGACTTTTAACAAGCGGAGAGCCTTCAGGCACTGTGCCTTTAGATATTTGATGTGTAGTAAGAATGTCAGAAGGCAAATAAATCTGGATCCTTATGCGGTTTGTATTTACAACAGAAATGAATACAGATTGCTTTGGATTTTGAGGATTTGAAGCCGTTTTCGTTTGCCAATTTTTGGATTTTGTTAAGACAGAGCTGCAACTGTCTTTCTATTGTATTCATATTCTTACCACGACAAGAAATGTTGAAATCGTCCACAAAAAAGTGAACCATCAACGCTATTCTTAAATACTTTAGTGAGACTATTAATTTTGATGCTGAAAAGAGTGACTGATAATATGCTGCCTTGAGGGACGCCCTGATCTTAGTCGAAATGATCAGACAGGGTAGAACCCACTCGTACTTGAAATTGTTTGTTGTTTAAAAATTGAGATATGAACTGAGGTAATCTGCCCCTCAATCCAAATTCAAGCAAATCTTTTAAAATACCATGTTTCCACGTTGTATCATTTGCCTTCTCTTGGTCGAAAAGGATTGATACAGTATGTTTCTTGTTGACAATGGAATTCTTAATAAATGATTCTAAACGCACCAAATGGTCAATGGTACTTCTGTTCTTTTGGAAACCACACAGCTTGATGTCACTGAGTAGGTTATTAGTCTCGGACTCATCGAATGTTGACCATGGGCTCCATGGTTTTCAAACACAGCTAGTTAATGATACTGAATGGTAATTGGATGGCACAGCTAGTTAATGATACTGGATGATAATTGATTGATCTGTATGATCCCGTCAAGGGTTTGGAATAGGAATGATTATAGCATTGTGCCACGAAGGAGGGAAATTACCTTTTGTCCATATTTCATCAAATATATGAAGAAACGTTTCCAAAAATGAATCCGGCAAGTGTTTCAGGAGCTCATAGTGGATGTTGTTGGTTCCTGTTGCCGTGTCATGAGCATGCCCCAGGGCAGTATATAATTCATGGAGTGAAAATGTTTTGTTATAGTCCTCACCATTTTCAGAGTTAAAATTAATTTTTTTTCATTTCCTGCTGTTTTTGAAACCTCTGAAATTGAGGATTATAGTTTGCCAAAGTGTCACCAAGTTTCTTGTCAATTTCAGATTTAGTAGTTGAACGTGTATTACCATCTTTGAGATGGTGAGCTCAGGATTTGGATCCTTTGCCCTTAGTCTTTTGAATCATGTTCCACACCTTGGACATAGGTGTGCTGGAATTTATTTTTGATGCGTAGTTCCTCCAGGATTGATGTTTATTCTGTTTAAAGATATGTCATTCAAGTTGTGGACAGTGGAAATATTTCTCAGCTTTCTTCCTAGCTTGTTTACAATTATTATCGAACCATGGTTTACGTATATGAGGGTTTGCAGAGGACTTAGGAATTCTTTCGTCTCCAATATCATTTAATATATCTGGCAAAAGTTTATTGGATCAGGAACATTCCTGAAACTTTCAGGTTTTAGTTTTTCAGTACACAGAGTTTGGAATAAAGGCCAGTTGGCCTTCATAAAGTTCCACCTTGTTGAAGGTGGTTCGTCAGACGGATTAATAGTTGTAAGTATTGTTGGAAAGTGGTAACTTCCACTGAGGTTATCATGGACCGACCATTCGAATTCATTTAAAATATTTGAATCTGTGACAGGATGAAGATATGTGTTATTACTACCATTGAAGATGCATAAATCATTATTTGAGATAAAATCTTCGAGAACTTTTCCCTTATCATTTGTATCAGTACCCCAACATTGGGGATTATGGCCGTTTAAATCGTTCATAATGATACAAGGCTTCAGGGGCTGATCGTACAAAGTCTCAAGATCTGATTGACAGTGTAAAAACTATGTTCAAAGTAATACGGACAGCAACAGCTTTTAGAGAAGTGTTGAGTGAAACAGGGATATGGATAATGCCCTGCTTCACCAGGATAGAGGAAATTCCTTCCTGTAGCTTTATCCCCAGGAGGGGAAAACGAGTGGTAAGAACTGTACTGACAGAAACCAAATAGATCTGTGTTTTTAGATATGTTTCTTTGAGACTAAAAGCTGACGGTTTAAAATCTCAGATTAAAAGTTGTATTTCATTAAAATTCTTCTTAAGACCTCTGTAATTCCATTGTATTATGTTTTGTGGATTCATGGTACTGCTTCCACTGGAGAAATGTCATGCAAACATAAGGAAGATGGAGTTACCTCCATGTCCAGAGGACCGAAGGATTTATGGACCTCTCCTGGGAACTCTAAAGGAGAGATGGCTTTTGGTGTTTGCAGCTGTTGTTTTTGCAGCTCCCTTTTCAAAATATTCTTTTCCCTGTTTGTAAGTGTAGCATTTTCTGGTTCTGGTTCTGAGACTCAACATTTTTTTACATTTTGTTTTGTTTTAGAGGAGTCAAAAACGAAGGTGTCATGGCTGGTTTATGGAGTGAGGCAGTAGGAAATGGCTGTACAGACTTGACCCATGTCAGATCAGTCTGGCAATCGACGAGAGACAGCAGCAGAGTTGTCATTTAAGTATCTGGGTAATTTTTTGTCAAAGTTTCTAAAATTTAACATTACCTTGTCCGGAAAAATTAAACTTAATGATAAAAAAACAAAGCAGATGACAATAAAACCGATCGCCCAAACGCATCACGGCAACGGCAAAGATTGACAAGAAATCAGCGACACCAAGCCTCTGGACGATTGCAAGCTGGACAAACCACCCGGCAAGTAGCCAATGCTTTTCAAGTCTACGTAAGGACCATATACAGGCTCCAGCAACGGTACCTGACCACCAGATGCTTTTCAAGTCTACGTAAGGACCATATACAGGCTCCAGCAACGGTACCTGACCACAGATGGTCGACCACGTAGTGGAAGACCAAGGGTCGCCACCCGACGTCAGGATCGTCAGATTGTGCGACAGCATCTTCAAGATCGCTTTGTTACTGCTGCAGAAACTGCTAGACAGCCCACGGGGACACACCAGCGACACATAAGTGTGGACACCGTGCGTTGACGATTGACGACCAGCCACATCCACTGTCACAGGCCACAACGAAGACCCATTCTGACACACGTCATCGCCAGGACCGTCTTCGGTGGGCAACACAGCCAACTCATTACATTACTGTGGATAGGAGAGCTTTGATAGTGACGACTTGAAACTGTGTCAACATCCAGTACCACGCGAAAATACTGCTTAAGAGGTAGAAGGGCTACCAACAGTAGCAGGAGGCGCCGGTGGAGCAGCAGTTGAGTGCATAGGGGGCGCCATGGGCGCCATCAACACAGGGATCAACATAGTAAGAAGCAACAGAAAAAAGGAGGCGCTAAGGACAGGTGAAACTTGGACTGCATCGCACGAGGCGCCCAAAACGGGCTACAACTCATTGGCGCCACCGGTACAAGTGTATTCATCAGGGTGGTCGTTATCGTCAGGAGTGGTGCAAGCGCTAACATTGTCATGGACGTATGAGGGGCGCCGCCATCTGTGTAGTCATCGGCGTTTGGAGAGCCATCTCCAGTGAAGACAATAGGGTCTGAGGAGATGTGAGAGTTGCCCCCGTGACGAAGACTGGAGAGGTGAGTTCATGCCCATATGTGACGAGTCGGGTGGCTGCATCTCAGCCGAAGTAGTCTGCGTATATATGATGCAATGGTAGATAGAGTATCTGCTGTGTCAGACATCTCAGGTTGTCTGTGCGCCTGCTTCGTCCGACGTTTGCTCGATACCCTCGGGTATTTCTTGAAATGTTGAGAGATGAGGGAACGGCAGAAACAACTCTGAGATGTTGCCAAGCAAGGGTCCGTGCAGTCCAAACACAGAGGGTGGGGATCCCTCTCAGACTTGTTGCCGTGACAATTAATACAAAAGTTGTATTCATAAAGCGGGCAACAAACAATGAAACGAGGAGGTAATTTATTATTCTGAACTCATTGGTTTGAAAGAGGAAGCATTACTCAAAGAAAGTGTAATTAAACACTTAGACACACACAAAAGGTATAGGAAATTTTTTTAGACAAATACCAGGCCATAAAACATTAAATCACGACGCAATACACGAGAGCGTGAACATGTGGAGAAATCAAAATGGCGGATAACAACAATACGCATGATGTATACCGTGACTCAGTATAAAGTAGGGTAGAAATAGCAAACAAAGGATGCTAGTAGATTTTGTTGGCTTTACACGCCTCGGCCGTTTGAAGACTAGCAGTAATGTGATTACACATGACGTCACCACTTCCGGGGTCACGTGGTTGCCGTGCCAGGGTAATAGCCACACCCATAGTTGAAAGAAATTTTTGTGTAGATGGACGTCTCACAGCTTGGTTTTTCTGTTAAAAAACAGCAGTAATTGCTTTAAGGAGTAACGCAGGACAAGTTAAAAATTAACATCATTCCGGATTTCTGATGTACAGTTTACTGGACACGGAAACCGACGTATAATGAAAGTAATCTAACGACATATTCTCATTCACTCTATCAGTGATAAATGATAAACGAATATCAAAATAAAGTAAAGTATTGAAACATAAATCTGCTGAGGTTTTTACAAGGCCGTCACTACATTGCGAACTGGAGTCCTAACGGGATAGAACTAATGTGACGTCTCTAGTGTTTGTTATCCATTTGGTACACATTAGGAGACAAACATACAGCAATCATAATCTTTCTGAAAAATATGTTTGAATCAATAAAAAATATGTGGATACCGATATGTATAACAACTTTGAATGAAGTTGACTCACCAAATGTTACCATCCATGCCCATCCCCTGTCTTGCTTTCTGCCTGCCATATCTATCAACATTGAACAACACCTTCACCACAACGCTGTCTTCAATCAAATTAGAACATGCTCAAGAACCCATAGATACTTCAACAACAAACATGATTAATACACCACCAATCCTTCGCTAGTATTACCGGCAAGTGTTTGTGAGCATTCTTGTTTGAGGATTCCTGGATATCAACTCCCAAATGTGCATGACGTCGGAGATTATTAATAATTCATTTACGAGCTCAGAACAGCACAAACAAAATGGCGGTGTTGTCACTCGCACTAATCTGTAACCTCAGCGTGTACTACCCAAGATACGTGACCTGAATGATCGACACGACAGCCACCGCCATCGCTAGTAATTCCCCTGAATGCCTGTATCGATCGTTAGTATGAACATTTAGTTCCATCATCCTTATTCTACCTACTTACCAAGCTGTTCTCACTCCTCCCCAGCGATATTTTATGATAGAAGTCGACAGTCATATGCGAGATTCATTTTCCTATTTACATAATGAAACCCACCGTTAACATAAGCTGTGTGCAGGTACCACAAAGACTTTGATCTTACGATCAAACGTTCACCTCTTCTTGACCCCAATCGCCTTTCCTGTTCTCATTTCGAATATAGAACATAAATTCCGCGAGGTAAGTATCTAATCAGACAAGTATAGCTCCTAGTTTCCTCTACTAGGTGTCATGACCCTATGAGGGCACAGGGCAGTAGATGAGGGTCTACACAATGAACCGTCAAAGGTAACCTGCCGGACAAAAGAAAGTATACACTAACAAATCGGATTTGATCCGATAATTACAAACATTACACAACTATAATACCCATTGTCAATACATCATCATCGAATGACCATGTTATAACTTCTTTGAGAGGCATTTAGAAGTTGGAGTACTAACTATTTATAGGATATATGGATGGACAACTTCTTTATTACAATTAGGAGTGGCGTTTCGGTGTAAGCTTGATAACGGTTTTAGAACCTGCATCGAAACGTCGCTCCTATTTGTAATAAAGAAGTTGTTCATCCATATATCTTATCCTTACTTAACCATGTTTTGTTTGTTTTATTTTTAGCCACCTTCATACATGGGTGTATACTTACTTTTACCCGGCTGTTTATATCATGTTCATGGCCTTAACATGCACGATTTCCGTATATTGTTTTGAATCATTTTCAAATGTATTCCGTTGTTATACAGATGGATTCTCGCTTCGTTCAAGAAACGCCTTTCTCGATACTGCCAGAATGAGACCTGTATTCCACACTTCTTGTAGGTTTATGGAGATCTTATGAACCCTAAAATCATAAAGAAATCTATGCATGCATTATTACAAGCATTATATGTTCACAGAATTGAAATTTAAATATATATGCAAATATCTCTTTCCACCTGGAAACAAGAACAAAATAACAACTTTAACTGAAATATATATAAATGAATCTTGAATGTCAATTTTGTTATTACTTAGCAAGAAACTTACATTATTACATGTTTTAAATGTTCACAGTGAGTGAATGAGTTGGGTGTAACCCGAAGTGATGCAGGCCTCAGACGTTTACCACTTTGATGAAACCCACGGGCACGGTTGTTGACAGACCAAGAAACGTAATCGTGGCGAACCGGGATTCGAGCCCATCATCATAGATTTCTGGCGTGCCCAATTCTGCATAGCGAATTGCAACACCGTAGACGACTGGGCCACAGTTCCCCTTTTTAATGTTTATAGAAATGTTCAACCATTATAATGTCATGTCATGGATCATATTACATGTGTGGGTTTCTTGGTAAGACTTTCTTAAGAAGAGCCATGACATACGTGGTTATTTACAATCCAGTTATATATTCAGAAAAAACAACACGTACTACGTGCAACAAATCAATCATCGTGTACAATTATGGAACTGACTTAATGCGTGGGTTGTAACAAAGATCCAATATCACATAAACACGTGTACAAAGTAGTTAAATTGGAGCAATCTACATTTTATTGTTGTAACATTTTATAACTTCTCTAATCACCTTAAACAAAATAATGAAACAATAAAATACAATTTAAAACATGGAAACATTTTATATGATAACTTCAACCTTCTGATGAGTATGATGTGTTTCAAAATGACAAAATTCTGACAACAAATTTCATTAATAAAAAAAGAAAATAGCATACCTGCAATTGTAAAACTAAATATTAATAAAAATATTTAATGACTCAAAATCTAATATGTACATAACTGCACAAATCACTATAATGTATCCGCCACAGTAACGCGTATAAATGAATGTCATAATTATCTTCTCGCGTGAAGCCTTTAGGTTTATGTGCGCCGTCTATCTTACCTCAAGTTTGCCCGATGTTTTTGTTATGTACGTTCGTAGTCATGTGATGCATTAAAACGATAGCAACATTTCCAGCACGTTATTGTGATACCCATCTTATAACTAACTCCTTAACAATAAAGAAGATTAGTCAGGCCTCTGTTTGACCCCAGTCTCGCTGTGTGCTGAAGGCAAGCTCAGCAAACACCGTCCACTCCACTACACAAAGTACCAACTACGCTGCAGTCACTTATCAGTGTGCGAGCTTAGCCTCAATCTTTTCCCGTAAAAATCAAGCCTCGTTCTCAAGTGCGACCTACAAACAGTAACTACAATTTGCTGGCAGATGACATATTCACTCTCTTTTCTCTGTCAACTGGATAAACAGAGGTTTCTACTAAAACAACTGTGTTTTTGTACTTTCATTAGTTTTCCATGTTACGAAATATATTCACTGAATATTAATGCTTTTCACCTGGATAATAAGGTTTATTCATTTCATGATGAGGACCGTCTTTGATAAAATTTCCCCAACTGTATGCATACCATCATTCCACCTTTTGTTTCTATTTTTCTGACTCTTTGGATGGCATAAATGCACACACATTCACAAGATGCAACATTCTAGGAGCGTTTAAAGTTCTACATAATATTAATGCACACACAAGCATATTGGTACAACTGTACTCTTGATATTTTCCACTTTTCCACTAAAATTCAATAGTTTTAGAGGTGTCAGAATTCCAATATGTTCATACCTTTCTTGACAAATCTCCAGTTGTGTCAGTTGGAAGTTGTATCATGATGAATAATTAGTAAGAGACTGGTATTCCAAGTGAGTGCCATGAAACAGTTGTACAACACGATTTTGCCACGATTGAGCATAAAAATGCAAGAGCCCAGTTATAATCCAAAAGTAATCGTCCACCACAACAGTAACAGAAGTATACTGCTACACCAGACGATAGGTTTGAGCCAGTAATTTTACTGATAGAGGTCCCTTGACTAAAATCTTGACTACTTCTGGTGCTGTGAAGGGTTACTATTCCCAATTAAAACTTACAAACCAATACATATTTGAGATTTAAGTTCTGATTTATTTAAGCGCAAATGTCTGTTCAGTGTAAGACAGAAAGAACAAAATGTCAAACACCACACCCAGTAAACAATCAGTTTAGGCCCCTGACACACAAATTAGATCTTCAATGACATATCAGTAAACAAAAATTTAAAAAAACGGTGTTAAACTGCCCTAATGTGATGCTATCAGTTAGGTGCCAGATTTATTTATGTTTCTTGCCGCTCTGTGTGGGGCTTCTTTGTCACTTCGAGGGGGAAACTGGGGACTGTCTTTTATCCAACTTAAAATAGGAGGAGCTACAACTGTAATCGTGTTTTTAATTGCATAAAAGACAGTCCCCAGTTTCCCCCTCGAGGTGACCAAGACACACCACACAGAGCGGCAAGAAACATAAATAAACACTTCCTGTGACAGGGGTTGTGACGTCACTATAGGGGCTTTAGCATTGAATCTATTTATAACCTTTCTGAAAGCGAGGCTTGGTTTTCATCTATAAGCGGTATGTTCATGATATAACCAACCCATGGTAGGCGATCCGATAACACACGCATGAGGTGCTTATGGGAATACTTAATCTCAACAAACCATGCTCATAGCCATCCCGAATGATGTACGCGAAAAAACACACCCATGAACTATTCACCTGAGCAATTGTAATGGAAAGATAATCAAATAACAGGACAGTTAAATTTGAGAAGTGAGAGGGCTGTACATCAGATTCATCCCTGATTGAACGATTAAACCCACCAGATGAAACCTTTCACTTTGTTCTTCCCCGCCCTTAAGGCGGGGAAGTATACGGGAGAGGTTAATTTTGGAGCATGTAAGTCGACATGTTGGTTTCTTAGAAATTTCAAGCCACACAGTTACCGAAACGAAACATACAAATCATGTGAAATGTGCGTGAAATGTTAATGTTTATCTTTTCCAGCAATAAGAGATACTTCAAAATCGTCTTGCTATTCTGAGACTTAGTCACTTTTCGTAATGCTGATAACCCATGAAATTTGTTCATTTTTTTTTTAAAAGAGCTAAAAATGATCCCATTTCGCTAAAGTTAACCGGTCTATATTTTGTAAGAATAAACTATTGCGCATTGAGCGATTATCTCCATTAGCTATAGGAGTAATATAGAAGTGATAAATTCACGCACTGACCTTGCATTGCTGTACATCGTATCTTATTCAAGCTGTATCACTGTGAGTGAGTGATTATCTCCCTTTCCCGAACAGTTCAATTGCGCACTACCTTTGCAATGTATCGTATGTTATTCAGGCAGCCATCGAGAAACGTTCCAGGAAGGAATTTAGGCCAAGCCTGTCACGCGCACTCAATTTTCACACTGCTATTGCAACATATTGTTCAACACGATTAAATAACGGGCTTCTATAAAGTATGACTTTCTTCAATAAACAACACATGTAAAAAAACGGGTTTGATATGAGACATTTTTTATTAGTTGTCTTCATAATCACGTGTATGGCGCTTGCTGTGCATAGTTGAGCACAGCATTGTTTTAAATACTTCACTGTATGTAATGTATGGTACATACCGTTTCATGCGGCGGTTTACGTTTCTGCATGGTTTATTGCTTTGACAAAAAAAATTCAGCAGAGATCATACACCCGTATATGTTCTTTGCTTCTGGATACATAGGAAATCAACAGGTTGGTCTGTAGTTTGCAATTATTTTCCAAAAAGATAATACGGTTGCATGATATCTTCACGATGTTTGGGTTGAACATAGTAACATTCTTCTAAACAAATTTCCAATCTAAGCCGGAAGCAATCACAACACAAACCCAGTTAACCAAACGGAACCATACACAAGAGTGAGTGAGGGAGTTGGGTTTAACGCCGTCTTGAATAGTATTCCGTGTCAGCTTGATGTGGGAGGAAAGTCTGAAGTGATGCAGGTCTTAGACGTTCACCACTTTGGTGAAACCAACGAGCAAGGGTTTTGTGCTGAAAACAAAATCGGGGCGAACCGAGATTCAAACACACTGTCATAGGTTTCTGGCGTGCCCAAGGGACACAACTCTGCATAGCGAATTGCAGCGCCTTCGGCGACTGGGCCAACCATGCCCCCGTAAACAACTGTAAGAAACTATTATACAACAAAGATGTTTTAGATGAGATATGTATTGCGAAACATTCCATGAAGAAACAGTGGCAATATTGCACAATCACAAACTACAAAATACATGCACAATAAACGACAATTAAAAAACACAGGAACATTCAACATTCAAAAGAGGTAGAATTTAATTTCTAAAACAAGTGTTTTATAATGATATGGAAACAATATGAGAATTGAGCAAAACTATGGTAATGTAGTACATACATGTACAAGGAATTTGTTTGTAATTGTTGATATGTTAACAGATCTTGGAAGTTGTTTCTGGATAACTGTTGGTAAACTTATTAAGAATCTGCTCCTTTTAACAGAGTGTACCAAATTCTTTATAATGATTGGGGATTATTTGTGATTCTCTTTCTTGGTTGTACTATGTAAGACAGTGCGTAATGTTGTTCATCTTCTGAGACATCACATGTTTCACAGAGACGTTGTTCAAATGGGCTTGGTGTTTTTGTGTATCTACAATTTTTTCAATTTTTAGTTTGTGATTACTTAAACGAAGTTTTGAGAAAAGTGACCCATGGCCTTTGTTTTTACAATATGTAAGATAATTCTCAATATTTATAGATAACGTGACCAAACTGTATGTTCCTAACTTGCAGCTAGATAAATGGGAATCCATTAATGATTGCGTGAATTTTTACATTTGAACTGAAGTATATTTAGAGTGTATTCATTACATTTTTTGTGTTTACTATTTTAAAAGTTTGCTTTATTTAAACCAACCAACATTTTGACCAGAAATATTGATATTTGCT